AATTAAGAGTAGTAAAAGGGAAGGTTTTTTTAATTCATATATTATTTTGATTTATATATTTTGCATTTTTCTCGCAATACGTGTTATATACTTTCACAAATACACGGCAAACGAGAGTCCTAAACTAACTTGGTCTCTTCTTTCTAATTCTCATCTGTGTTCCATACATTCATAAACGGTGACTTGTCCTTTGGACTTCCTTTGCAAAGAATCTCAGCATCTTCCATCACCACCAACATCACCATCACCACTTCCACCATGATTCAGGAGAAGACCACCACCGTTGCAATGTAACTGGGCATGAATGCAGACATCTGCTACATAAACATCCTCATTGCCGTCATCACCATCATTGTCGTCATCCTCATCATCATCGTCACCACAATCATTCTCACCATCATGGACACCGCCACGGGTATAGACACTCAATACTTCCTGCAGGCCCTGCAGGACCCAGGGGCAACCATAAGTCTGAACAGACCCAAGAGGAACATCCTGGCATTCCCCCTCCTCCAGGACCTCAGTACCCTCCTCCTCCTCCCGGGGGTCCCCATCATTTTCCTCCTAGTAAATATCCACCACCACCTCTTGGGCCTCCCCCTCCCCCACCTTTTCCTCGTAGGCCAGATGACCACCACCAGCGGCCATATGAGAGGTTTCCTAAAGTTGCCCTTCCCTGCCCCCAACGTCATCACAGGTGTAATGACACTGTGTGTAAAAGAGAAGAAAGCGGATCCTCAGAAGAGCAAGATTCGTTCAGCAGCTACCATTCTTTCCATCGTAGCAGCGGGGACTTTGTCCACCGCGTTCCAATTCCAAGTGAACACGATGTCCTCCAAGCTCCTGGTGCCAACTTTCTTGACCATGGAAGACATCATGGAAAACACATGCTACAACCTTTCCCAGAGGTTTCCTCGGGATCAAAGTCGTGCCCAGGGAAGCCCAAATATGACCTCTTGCCAGGCATTTTGTCTTTATTTCCTACACCATCGGCACATTAGAAAGCTTTGCATGGAAATAATAATAACATCGGCATTTATATGTGTTTGTTTTAGTTTAAGTGTCTC